TTCTGAATGTGGAAGAAACTCTCCCTACTAAGGGGTTTCTTGAAAATGTCCGCCAATTGATGATTTATTTCAACAAACTCAATTGTGACATCTCTCTTTTGGACGTGATCTCGTATGAAGTGATGCCTAATTTCTATGTGTTTAGTCCTCGAGTGAAGAACGGGGTTCTTCGTTAGACTAATAGCGCTCATATTGTCACACCTAATAGGGATGTGATCAAGTATAAGGCCGAAATCCACTAGTTGTTGTTTTAGCCAAAGAATTTTGGCACAACAACTTCCCGCAGCGACATATTCCGCTTCGATAGTGGAGAGTGCAACACTAACCTGTTTCTTACTAAACCACGAGATTAACGAATGACCGAATAAGTGGCAAGTACCGCTGGTACTTTTCCTATCAAGTTTGCAATCTGAAAAATCCGATTCGGAATAGCCAACAAGATGACATGTTGAACCTTTGGGATACCAAAGACCTACGTTCAACGTGCCCGCGAGATATCGCATTATCCTTTTGATCGCAGCCAAGTGCGACTCTTTAGGACATGATTGATACCTAGCGCATATACAAACGGAGTACATGATATCCGGTCTACTCGCGGTAAGATAAAGTAAAGAGCCGGTCATACCTCGGTAGCGCTTGATGTCTACCTCTTTACCTTTTTCGTCCTTGTCGAGATAGCAAGAGGTGCTCATTGGTGTGTCAATGGATTTGGATTCGGTAACATCGAATCTTTTAAGCAATTCCATGCAATATTTTGTTTGACACACGAATGTTCCTTCTTTGCATTATCTAATTTGCAGCCCAAGGAAGAACTTTAATTCTCCCATCATCGACATTTCAAATTCACTTTGCATCATATCGGAAAAATCCCTGCACAAAACCTCGTTAGTAGCACCGAATATGATATCATCTACCTAAACTTGAACCAAAAGGATGTCTTGGTTATCTTTCTTGATAAAAAGAGTAGTGTCGACTTGTCCCCGTTTGAACTCATGGTCCAAAAGAAATTTTCTTAACCGTTCATACCAAGCATGAGGTGCTTGTTTAAGACCGTAAAGCACCTTTTTGAGTTTGAAGACATGTTCGGGAAACTCATAGTCTTCGAAACCCGGGGGTTGTTTGACATACACTTCCTCTTGAATGATACCATTAAGGAAGGCACTTTTAACATCCATTTGATAAAGTTTAAAATCCATCGTAGATGCAAATGCAAGCAATAAACGAATAGCTTCTAAACGTGCAACCGGTGCATAAGTTTCTTCATAATCAATGCCTTCTTCTTGATTGTAGCCTTTAGCTACAAGCCTAGCTTTGTTTTTAGTGATTATTCCATTTTCATCGAGTTTGTTACGAAACACCCATTTTGTGCCAATAACGGAATGATCATTAGGTCTAGGCACCAATTCCCAAACATCATTGTGTTTAAATTGGTTAAGCTCCTCTTGCATTGCCATAGACCAATGTTCATCATTAATAGCATCCAAAACAGTTGTTGGTTCAATTTGTGAAACAAAGGCCATGTGATTAATTGTGTTCCTAAGAGAAATACGAGTAGAAACTCCCTGCGTTATGTCACCAATGACATTCTCAATCGGGTGGTTCTTCAATGTTCTCCATTCCTTAGGAAGCTCCGTTTGTTCCTGCGTTTTCTCTTCTTCCGGTTCCTTTTCCTTAACGATTTCTTCTTCATCATCATAAGAACCTGCAACATTATCAACAATACTTTTTCTCGCCAAGCGAGCATCAAATTCATCAAAGACAACATGAATAGGCTCCTCTACGGTCTTAGTACACTTGTTGAACACTCTATATGCCTTACTACGAAGAGAATAACCCAAGAAAATTCCTTCATCCGACTTAGCTAAAGTAGACGGGGAATTTTCAAGATCAAACATGTAAATGTTATCTACTCTACTACCACAAAGAATAGTCTTATTGTCACACAAGCGTTCTGCAATGCATTTACTAGAATCAAAGATGACACGGTTACCTCTATCGCACAATTGGCTAATGCTAAGAAGATTGTGCTTGAGGCCCTCAACAAGAAGAACGTTCTCAACGGTTGTAGCATTGTCCTTCCCGACGGTGCCACTTCCAATGATTCTTCCTTTGTTGTTGTCACCAAAAACGACATTGCCACCTTTGAAATAATCTAAACTCCTAAATTTGGATGCGTCTCCGGTAATGTGCTTGGAGCATCCGTTATCGAGATACCAAGAGGTACTCGAAGCCTTCAAGCACACCTATAAAAAGATATCAAGAAGACGGTTTAGGTACCCATGTATTATTGGGTCCTTTTTGGTTAGCTATACACGCTACACACACGCAAACAACTTTTACGGATTAAAACCACTTCGTGTGCCCACGTTACACGGGATAGAATAATGTTATTACCGTTTATTGCAAACCTAATAAGTAGGATATACCAACTCACATTACTCAAGATCCAAACGATCCTACACGAGAAGATCAAACTAATAAATAGGTAGCATTTTTATTCCCCCTAACTTTAACAAATGTTGTTTTTCTAGGTTGGTTTTTCTTATATCCAAGTCCTTCACCATTACTAACTTTTTGCTTAAGTATTTTATCTAAGGTGTTTGAAGCATTATTGAACTTTCCCAATTTGCTCTCTAAACTAGCAACCTTAGCTTTTAGTGATGTACAACTAGAGCATGTAGAAGAAGTAGTTGAAGGTTCTTGTGGCCTTTTTCCAAAAGAGATAATTTCTTGTTTAAGTTTATCATTTATATTTTTGAGTTCTTTGATTTCATTCTCAAAAATCAGGATTTTTTGCTTTATTTCATTGTTTTCTTTGGAAGCCTTTTTGAACATTCCTACCAAATCTTCTACAATGCAAACAACATCATTAAGAGTTAAAGGATCAGTGGGAGAAGGTTCTTGATCACTTACCTCTTTTGATGTATCACCATCTTCAATGGCCATGAGACATAAGTTGACCACTTCCTCCGTTTCTGAGTTTTCACTCCCGGAGCCGTCGTTCTCCCAGGAAATGTAGGCACGTTGCTTCTTCGGTGCCCTCTTGTCCTTCTCGTTCTTGAGCTTTGGGCACATTGGTTTGCTGTGTCCAATTTCACCACACCCATAGCATTTGGGTGGAGTGTTCTTCTTGGCTCCCTTCTTGAGCATCATCTTCTTGAATTTTCGGACAAAGAGTCCGAGGTCGGTGTCGTTGTTGGGAAAATATTATAGATTTTGATGATGATGTATTTAGATTGTAATAGGGACTTTAGGCCTACCCCAATATTCAATGTAATTTTTTCTTTTTAGAAATATTGTTAAAACCGAGTTCTTGAGATTTCCAATAAAGTTGTGATATTTCTTTAAGTGGTTTGATGCTTGAAGACTTAATCAAATTCTGTGATATGGAAATTGGATATCTTGATCGGAAATGTCAGAGACAAGTAAGGATTTCTCAAAGCAGATGAAGATCCTCTAATCCGGAACACTACATGAAAACCGCTCGTCCAGAATTCCTAAACAAGCACTAGAAGACAAATTGAGTAAAGAGCTACAGTCCAGAATTCTTGAACAACAGCTAGAAGACGGAATCCTCCTCAAACAATTGGGTATGTCCAAACACCCACTCCAATGAGGAATCCTCAATCACAATCTTCATTCAAAATTGAAGCCAGCAAATGCAACGGATAGTCTATTTGATTCAACGGATAGATCATCCAATCTAGCTATAAATAGCAACCTTGGAACACTGGAGAATACATGATGAGATAGACAAACACAACAAAGCAATCTCTAACAACAAAGCTATCTCATTCACAGTTAGCCCAAAAAGCTTGATAAAGAGAGATTTCTAAAACTCCTTATCCAGAAGCAAACTTCTCCTCCTTCCAAAGAGCTATAGTGTAAACACTTGAAGGTTTCCTTGCCTCAAGTACCACACCACGTTGAAGGATATAACTTTTGATCAAACTTCTTGATTAAAAGGGGGTAGATCAACTTTCTCACAA